TGAACCAAGGAAAAGGTGATGCAGATGATAGCTTTAACCATTCTTACCACCTTAAAAAAAAATAAAAAGATGTAGTGGTGCAGATCTGTTAGCTCACTGAGAGCCCTTTCCTCTTTGTCCCCTGTCTTTTTGGTTTTTTATTGGTATGTGACTTCCTAGTATAACAGTCCTGCAGAAAAGAATGAAAGACAAGAGTTAATTAGCATTGCATTGTCCAGGGAGGAGAGAAGGGAGAGCTGAATTTGGACCACTGCCTGCTGCAAGGAGTAGGTTTAACTTTCAGTGAACTTCTCTGGCCTGGGTATGGTTGTCTTGGTCTGTGTGCTCTAGGCAGCTTGATGTTTAGCCAAGAGCCACAGTAACTAGTCCAGCTACCCATCTAGCCCAAGCAAGTCTTGCTCTGGACACGGTTAATGCAAAGACATGTGCACACCTTCAGTGATTAGCTCCCTGCAGGAATAGAATATGGATGTTCACAAGGCAAAATGGTCACTAGGGACACTGTCATGAAGATCCCATATGGAAGGACAGGCTTTGGTGTCTAATTGGTGGTGGTGTATGGCTGATACTTTCATTATTTTTATACTATCTGAATAATTTTACAGCTGAAATATTCTGCTGGGGAAAATCAGAGTATTTCTTTATATTATTCTCTAATCATCCACAAAAAATATGAAAGCTGAGACTGTAATTTATAAGTAACAAATGGTTTTAAGAATCCAATGACTGCATGAGACAAACACATAAAAGTAGTATTTTTGAATGGCCCTACCTTCAACTAGTCAGGAAAATATTCATACGATCTTGTAATATTAGCAAGAAAACACCAAGTTAGGAAGTCTGAATATTAGATTAACTAACCTGAATATTAGACTAACCTGTATGAGTTTATTATTTCTAATATAATTCTTTTCTGTCTGAAACGTAAACTGTTACTAATGAATGCAGAGTTTTTTCTTGAAGTGTATTTTAAAGGAAAGATTAGTTAATAATTTTGTCATATGTGAATCCTATTGCAGTCAGTTTTCATACACGACAGTAACATCATGGCAATTAGTATCTAACTATGATAATTTATTATAAGTTTACTTAGAAACAGAGGAAAATATTAGCCGTCTTCACAAGGTACTTTAGCACAGGATTCTTTGCATGTGAGAACTGTGCCCCTTTGCAAACTTGTGTACATGTTGGTTTGTTTTTTTATGTTTGTGGCAGAATTTCACCATCAGATGCTGAGTCCACAGCAAGTGAACAATCCAGTGGAAGAGAAACAGGAGAAGAAACTGTGAGACCATCAACTGTTGCAAACGAGGGCAAACCACGCAGAGCAGTGAAAAAGGGTTCGTTATTTCAGTTTTTTTCCATGCGTGGTTTACTCAGATTGAAGAGTTACTCTGGTGATGTAACATCTCTAAACTCATCTTTGGCTGTTGTTTTTTCTGGTTTGTGTTGCAGAAAATTTTCTTCTCCTTTTTGGCTTAATTTCTTTTGTTGAAACTGAAGAGCTGCACACCCTTTTCATTCCAGCAAGGTTTTGAAACAAATGGGTTAGCAGGATTTTGAATCTTCTCTCCTTTTCTCTCCCACCATCCCTAGCAAACCTTTCCCCATTTAGGCCCAGTTGTGACTTTCTTGGTAGCAATCTTGCAGAAAGTTACGTGGGCAGTAGAGATCACAGCAGGACTTGACACAGCATGGGTATGTGTCTGTAACTTTGAAAAAATTAGACTAAAAAAAGGAGAACAGAGAGGTAAAAGTTATACAAAAGTTCTAATGTAGAAATCAAAATCCCTTCATGATTGTGTTTCAGAAAGCTTGAAATCCAGTGAAACATGGATATGTTAATAACAGTTAAATGTTTTTTTAAAGATCTATCTTCCTTCCAGCTAAAATGTACCACCATTTGTCTTGGGAGGTACCCTATGATATATTTCTTTCCTCATTGAAAAGTTGATAAAGCACTGCAAACCCACTTTAATTCATTAATTAAAACATTCCTTTAAATTCTTTTCCTGTTTAAAAGTGTGTGGCTAACTGTGAACACTAAGTGTTTCTTCTGGGAGCCTTTTGGGTTTAGGTGGCTTGGCTCATGCCTGAGGTTTTATTTACCAGATCTTTGCCTTAAATCACAATTAAATCACAGTGGTCATTCCAGAGAAACTTCTGATACTGAAAATCTGGTAAAGGATTTTGAGAGATTCCCCATCTGTTCTTAATACACGTGGCCTTGACGGCAGCCGAAACTGAGAAAAAGAAAATACTGACCACATTCCGAGCAGTCTCTTCAGTATATTGAATGTTTTTCCACATCGTCCCTGAAACACCAGCTGAGATGTAAAGACAACTACTGAAGAATGCAGTGCCAGTGAAATTCAGATCATAGCAGACAATCTTCAATTTTTGTTTATGGAAGCAAAAGCTTGAGGAATATGTAAGATTGTTTATATAAACTGCTAGCTCTTAGGTGGCTAAACAGCAAGTTAAATAATGTATGATTCTTAAACTTTCAGAATGTGAAATACTCTGGAAGAGCAAGGCTGATGAAGGAGCCTTTACACTGTAATAAACATGTAAGAAAACAAAGTGCAGGATGTGCTTCTGTGACTAGAAAGTTATACTTCTAGTAATTCAGCAAGCAGTATATGCTGTACGTACTTCACACAGTTTACAAAAAAGATACTGTACTGATGCTATATATATATTTTCAGTCTCTTAGGTTTGCTCTAAGGAGCAGAAATCATGCCAAAGTAAATATATAGGAAATCACCTTTTGGTGTATAGATGTTAGGTGTTGCTGCATCTGAATTATCTGGCAAAGGTAGCAAGGATATTGTGTAAAAGGTGCCCTTGTTACGTATCATGCCCTTAATGGATCAAATACACTTTCTTTCAGCATTTCTTGCCTCTAGCAGTTGTAGGGACTATTTTTAGCATTCAGTTTGGAGACACTGTCTGCAGAGAGCTCTTTGTCTGTTAAATGGCAGATTCGGCTCCCTTTTTTTGCAGCTGAGGCTTGGCAGTTTGATCCAACTTCATGCATTTTGTTGAAAAGTAAATGCAATCATCTTACTGCTGTTTTTTTTTCTAGTTGCTATTCCAGCTGAATTATTTGTAATAATTACTGTATCTCTTCTTTTTTCCTTTATGTTGTCAGGAGTAAACAGAGTGGGTAAGTAATTAGAGCTGGTAGTTTAGTACAAATATGAGTAGAGGTGCTGGGGTGGTAGCTATGGTTATATCTTAAGGATGGAAGGATTTGTCTTCCAAGTCTAAAAAAAAATACCAAAATTGCTTTTGAGCTATTGAAGTCTAAAAAATTCTCAGTGACATAAATTATAGTCATCTGGTTTAAGCACATTTTTCTAATTTTCTCCCAGTTCTTTCAAATGATTGAGGAAAACATCACTGTGAAAGACGCAAAACTGAGGCAGCTGTTGATCCTGAAACTAGCTTTGTATAAACAAGTTAGACATATTGTTAGTGTCTTTACTGGAAGCCTGAGGCAAATGCAATCTACCTGCAGAGAAGCACAGTTTCTCATGAACTGGGGGTTTCCATGTCAGGACTGAGACATAGCAAAGGTGGAGCCAGGAGGAAGCTGACACTTCTTTGATAATGCATATCATATCTAGTGGTAAATTAGGGACTGTGTTCTCTGGTAACAGTTTCCATCTTATAATAGTAGAGTAGGTTGGATATAAAGCTGATTAGAATGCTTTCTGTTGGGTTTGTACAAGTAACTAGTAAGAGTTGTCAGCTGCATCCTAGGAACTTAATCTGCTGGGATACAAAGAAACTGGGTGAAACATACCTGAAACTGTGCTCTGCAATGAACCAAATACTAGTGGATGAGTGGAAGGTTCCCACTTGACTTTACCTGATTTTTGGATCAGGCTTTATGCACCTTGCTGCTCTGCTCTGATTTTTATTTCAAGAAGGTGCAGGAAGCAGTAGCCTTCCTCTGTCTCAAACTGGATTTGTTTTCATGTGAAATCATAGCTTCCTGCAGAGCAATTCGTTTTCCTAATGTTTCAGTTCAATTAGTAGTTTCAACCCAGGGAACAGTGATGGTCGTTGATCATGACATGTGATCTATGTGGCCTAGTTTAAATGTGTTCTAACCAGTCTTTGGGTATTAATTCCTCTCCATTATTTTCAACCTCAGCTGTCTAGTCTGAGATTAAAATCTCATTCGTATAGTGTCATCTGTTAGTTTTATAAGGAAGATTTTCTAACTGTGGACAATAGAGTAATATAAGAACTTTGAAATGAGAAAACATTCTTATTCACTCTTGTCAAAACTTCTAAAGGAGTTCATTCCTGTGCTGGGTTAGTAACCATTTCTCCTTTTGTTGTATGTGTACAGCACTATGCAGTTCCTGGTGTTCTTATCTAATTTACTTCCATCTTGGTTTGTATTTATAGGCACACAGAGGATTTAAAGGTCAAATACAGCTTATGGGTTGTTTTTTTGTCTGTGTGCATTTTTTCTACAAAAGAGAGTAATGTATGATGTTACTGTCGAGCCTGACCAAGATTTGACAGTGGGACTTTTGGACAGTTGTACAAAATGGTTTAGCAACTGTTTCAGCTGAGAGGCCTCTGCCAGGCACTTGTTTATGTGTGCCAAAGGAAAGGTGATGGATAAATTTATGCTGAGCATTCACTCTGAATCTTTAAATTGACTATATTGGACCTTGCTGTCCAAATAATATGAAAGTGACCTTAAAATTTGATGATGAAGATCAATGAGCTTTGAGAACTGCTGTTAGACTGGAAAGGTTGAAAAAAATTACTAATGTATGGCAAAATCAGGAAAGATGGATGCAGGTTAGCAAATGTGACACCCATCTATAAAAAGGGCCAGAAGGAGGATCTGGGGAACTACAGACGTGCCAGTCTGACTTTAGTGGGAGGGAAGGTTATGGAGCAAATCACCTTGAGTGTGATTACACACCATATACAGAATCAGGCACAGTTGGCATGGATTCATGAATGACAGGTCCTCCTTGACAAACCTGACCTCCTTCTATGACAAGGTGATTCACTTAATGGATCAAGGAGAGGCTGTGGATGTTGTCTACCTGGACTTCAGTAAAGCCTCAGATGCTGTTTCCCAGAGCATTGTCATGAAAAAACTGGCTGCTCGTGGCTTAGACAGGCATATGCTCTTCTGGGTAAAGTACTGACTGGGTGGCCAGGCCCAAAGAGTGGTGGTGAATGGAGTTAAATCCAGTTGGTGGCCAGTCACAAGTGGTGTTCCCCAGAGCTCAGTATTTGGGCCACTTCAGTTTAACATCTTCATCAATGATCTTGATAAGGAGAGAATAAATTCACAGACAACACCAAGTTGGGTGGAAGTGTTGATCTGTTTGAAGGTAGAAAGGGTCTTCAGAGGGACCTGGATGTCTGTATCGATGGGCAGAGATCAGTTGTATGAGGATCAACAAGGCAAAGTGCTGGTTCCTGCACTTGAGCGATAACAACCCCATGCAATGCTCCAGGTTTGGGGAATAGTGGCTGGAAAGCTGCCCTGCAGAAAGAGACCCGGGGCTGCTAATTAACAACTGCCTAAATATGAGCCAGCAGTGTGCCCAGGTGCCGAAGAAGGCTAATGGCGTCCTAGCCTGTATCAGAAATAGTGTGGCCAGCAGGACTAGGGGATGGGATTGTCCCCCTGTACTCAGCACTGGTGAGGCCACACTTCGGGTACTGTGTTCAGTTTTGGGCACCGCATCTCAAGAAAGACATCAAAGTGCTGGATTGGCTCCAAAGAAGCGCAACAAAGCTGGTGAAGGGCCTAGAGCCCAAGTCTTATGAGCAGTGGTGGAGGGAGCTGGAGCTATTTATTTTTAAGAAGAAGAGGCTCAGGGGAGACCTTGCTCTCTCACCTACTGGGAAGCAGGTTGTGGTGGGGTGGGTGTTGGTCTCTTCTCTCAGGTAACAAGTGGTAGGACAAGAGGAAATGGCCTCAAGTTGCTCCAGGGGAGGTTTAGGTTGGATATTAGGAAAAACTTCTTCACTGAAAGGGGTTGTCAAGCACTGGAACAGGCTGCCCAGAGAAGTGGTTCAATCACCATCCCCAAATGTGTTTAAAAATAATGTAGACATGGTTCTTAGGGACATGGCTTATGGATGTACTTGGTAGGTTAAGGGTTCATCTTGATGATCTTGAAGGTCTTTTCCAACCTAAACAATTCTGTGATTCTCTGCAAAGTTCAGATCTCCACTGCACTGTGGAATTGCTCTGAGGGATTCATACTGACCACTTCATGTATCTTGAGACACTCTCTGAGAGGCAATGCTTGCCTGCTGCTTAGAAATGCATGAAGGTGAGGCTGTGAAGATGACGTGGTGAAGATCATATAAACAGCTATTCAAGGGAGATGGATATATTTTATTTAGGCTCTGTATCTTCCAAAATATTTGGGACACAGATCTTCAGTGTAACTGTTTACTCTTGGGCTGGAAAGCAATCTGGCCCCAAGCTAAGCAAAATTCTTATTTTTCATATTTCTCAGACTTGATGAATGCACTGTCGAGTGTACACATTCATAAATGTTACGCATCATTTATAAATGTGACTTTCCTGTGTAGGTGTCCTTAAAAAGAAGGTAATGTGCTTTGAATATAATAAAGTGTACCATTCTTTCCCTCTTCTGCTCCCTTTTTTGTGCTAGAAGAGGGAAACAAAGGAACAAGTCATCTACTGTAATCTACAGAGATAGCATTCCCTTCTCTTCTGAACATGTACTTCCTTATTGACACGTGTTGCAAATGGATCAGAGCAGTGGCTGTTTCCTTTTCCTTCTTATCCTTCTGGAGTTGAATCAGGTTGATAAACTATTGATTGTGTATTGAAATCAAATCAGATTCTTCTGATTTGAGTTGGAGAACCACAAATCATTACTAGAAGTCTCTGAAAGGATATGGGACTTATGTCACTCTATGCTGTTGTGTTCCTCCATAAGAAGAGTCACAAATCTTAATTTGTTACTGCTTGTATTTCATGGTGAAAAGCAGTTTGAGAATCTGTGGTCTTACTGTGTGGACAAGATAGAAGATTATTTTGCAAGTCTTCAGTAGTTTTTTTAAGCTTAACCCACATAGTAGTTCTTGTAGGCCTAGCTTCAGCAAAAAATACTCAAATATGTTCTTAGCTGCAAACCACTGGGGTTGATCCTACAGGTTTCAAGTCTTTTAAGGAAGGTGACAGGTTTCTGTTGAAATGATTAACTGTTGGCAGGACCAGGGCTGAAGCTTTCATGCGTACTGGTTTACATAACCAGTTTAAATGATCTTTTGCTGATCATTTTTGAGTTGTTTTAACCTCTTCAGCAAATTACAACGTGGCAATATTTGTGCAGCTTGCTTACTGCTATGTGCACTGTTTATTCTGACACAAAGAAAACAGTGCTTTAAAAGCTTTAATCACTAAAATGTCTGTAAAATTCTTTGTTTCCTGTTGATTTACAAGAAGGTTTTGTTATAGTTCATGAATCATTCCTATCACTTAAAAACTGTATTTTGCAGGAAGACATCTTTTTTTTTTCTTTTGAACCTCCATTTGAGGAATTTGCATCTCCTTAAGTACTGATGAGAGGAACCATTAGCAATATGTTCTTGAACAGCTTTTTATGGAGTACAGTAGATTGAGATTTTTGGGGGTTTCCAAGGGCCAAGAGCTTGATTTGCAGAAATGATGAATGACAGCTCACCTTCTGGAAATATAATGGAAAAATGTTTATAATTTGCAAACCACTGGGTAGACTTGTACACTAAATGTGACTCAGCTGGAAGGCCTACGGGGCAAATTAAACACAGATGGAAAACATGGCAGTGTCTTATAGGATAGCATCTGCGGAGCTTAACATTTGACTGAGAAAGCCCTAGCAGCACTACTTCACTCTGTATTTGTTCTGCTGATTTAGGACCTCCTCAGACCAGCAATGGAAATGAGCAGCATTCCTCAGCCTCTATCTTTGAACACGTGGATAGGATGTCACGTTCCTCAGATGCCAGCAGACGGGTCCCAAGCAAGATCCAGCTGATTGCTATGCAACCGATGGCAGCACCCCCAGTTCAGAACTCGGTGCTTTCTGATCGAGTAGCAGAGACCAACAAAATTAATAAAGAGGTATTTTTAATGTGCTTTGGATGCTTGTAGCAAACTAGCCAAGAAGGAAATGGAAAAGTATACACTTTCTTGTTATCAGGAGTTTATTTGTTCTTGAGGAGTTGCAGTTTTCACAAATCACAGAAGTAATCCTGTTTCCATCCACAGAGATAATCTGACCTGTTTTATTTAAGAGATGCATAAACTAAAATTTAAACACTGAGAGAGCAGCAAATATGATGGTCAGGATACCCTGTGTTACCATCCTTTTGCCTAGTCAGCAGGACAGGACTTACGAGAGTTGTGTTAATGTGTCAGAATTGCAAGGTCTGGCCCACCTTGGTTTTCATTCTATACCATTCTTTTGAGTTTTCAGCAACTCAGGATGTGGGTTATAGAAACATGTTATCTCAAGACATTCTGAGGTGTGAATTTGCAGCACATTCATTGCTTCCAGCTTCTGATGTTTTTGATGGTAAACACAGAGAAACTTCCTGCTTTCTCTGAGGTTTGGGTTACTGTAAGCAGATGATGAGCATGACTGGGGCATAAGGACAGAAGGTAATGTGCTGTAAAACCACATTATACACTGACAATATCTGCATCCTGATTCTGTAATGCCTGTAAGCTGGCATCTTGTCATAATTTAGAGTGCAAGACTACTGAAACCTTAACTGGGTTAAGATAATATGTTTCTGAGGACCTTAATGGAGGGAGGTAAATACGTACATGTATATAGTATACATAGGCAAGAGGGGCCACAAACCAGAAATCTGATTGTATGGGCAGAAGACATATTCTAACTATAACAGTAAAGAATGTTAGACTTGTGTCCCTTTTATTCTTTTCTTTAAAAAAAAAAAATTAATATGAGAATACATGTGTGTCATTATTCAGTTTTTACTTGGTTTTAGTTTGCTGCTTCAGATGTGTTGCAGAACTAGTCCAGCACAGGCAGAGCAGTTGTTTCTGTCTGATCTGGTTCCCAAAGTGTTTTCCATCGATAAGAATGATTTCAGTGAGTGCTGGGCCAGGACTCACTGTGGCATTATGATGGCTTTCTCCAGATGATGAGATGCACCCCGAGGAATTTGAACAAAAAAAAAGGTGGGAGAGGGGGCTGAAACCTTAGCCTGCAAGAGGTCATAGAGCTGATAACACTATGTTCATCTACCAGCCTGTACCCTTGTATTACTCCTGTGTTTCTGCATAGCTTATGGCAGCCTCTTGTGCTCAATAGAGACGCCAAGTTACAAGCTCAATTAGCTTAAGTTCTTGCTTATTAGGTGATGACAGTCATTAAAGGGAATGGGTGACAGACTTGAAGACTATTGAATAAATGTATCTGTTTGACACAAAAGGTAGATGCAGCCTGTACTGATTAATCTTCTTTTTTCAGCAGTCTCTTCTGGCAGACAGCAGGACTTTTTTGTGTTCCTCCTTTTGTTAACAAATTGCCACCTTTAATTGTACCCGCTGTGCTGGCAGTTTTATTGTATGTAGCAGTACATCTGTCTGGGGACACAATGGGGATACTGCAAAATATCCAAGAAAGAAAGTGCTTTTACATATTGTGTGACATTTTAATCCTTCAGAGATTTGGGGGAAGGGGAGGAGGGAGTTAGGGGCAGGTATGGAGGTGAGGAGGAGAGGTTTACAGAAAAGCAGCAAAACTGTTTGCAAAAATTACAAACGAAAAATGCAGTTGATTTTTTTTTTCTCCCCCTCCTTCCTTAAGATACAAACAGCCCTGAGGCATAAATCTGAGATTGAGCATCACCGAAATAAGATCCGTCTTCGCGCCAAGCGCAAGGGGCACTATGAATTTCCAGTGGTGGATGACGTGGTGGTGGGTGACTCCAAAGAACAGCACAGAATATATCGCAAGGCACAGATGCAGATTGACAAGATCTTGGACCCTGGAGGCAGTGTGCCTACTGTCTTCATAGAGCCCAGGAAGAGGTAGGAATGTTAAAGATGGAAAGAGCATTTTTCTTCTAGTCAGCACCCAAAGTGCATCAAACCTGAACTTGAGAACTTTCAGAACTTCAAAGCACTTTGATCACCATTTGAATTTGAGTTATCTAGGTCAAAAGTTTGGGGTTGTTCTAAATATTTTTGCTTATTTTGGTATGTCAGTATGTTTTGTTTTCAAATTATTCTTTTACAAGAGCAGCAGTTTATTCTCAATAAATAAATTCAAATATATAGAAATTGTCTTAAAACAATTTCATATTTGCTTGCAATTGAATATTTCCTGTGTGGTATAGAGGGATCAAAAATGCAATGTAAGCAATCAAGATAGATACATGGGAAATAAAAAGGGGAGAAAAGATGCAAAGTAAGGAAACCCTTGAATGATTTAAAAAGCATGAAGATTTTGAATTTTAAAGGCAAATTCATGAATCAACAAAATAATCTTTTGTGTATTCCCTCTGGGTAATGAGTCAGCCTCATGGTTCTGCCTTCCTGATCGTGTATTTTCAGAGAAAGTTTTCCATGGTCACTGTCTAGGGCTTATGAGTACTGGCACTTTCTTCCAGGAGCACTGGTACCCTGTGACTGTGTCCACACAGGAAGCAGCTTTTCTCCAGTTACCTGGGTTCCTCAGCTGGTTTGCCTTGTAGAGTTAAGCTAAACATGTCAAGTGCAAAGCCTTGTTGGCAGTGTGGTCTGTTCTGCTTCTGCAAATGTGTCAGGCATTGGTCTGGGAGGTCTGGAGAAGCACTGGTGGGGGCTGGAGCATGGATAACTTTAAAGATGAATGTAGAAGTGAGGTGACGCTGGAAAGAGTTTGAGGGAGGATTTGGACAATTTGGAGAGCTATCAATGAGATGTTATTAGGAGGAGCTTGAAGAGAGAGATTTGAGGCCAACTAATGGGACTGGCATGAAAAACTGAAAAAGGGAAGAGAAGCAGAGCTGAGGCAAGGATGACTTGCAGGGAATGAGCAGAGGAGGTCAACCTTGAGTAGGATGAGAAGAAAAACTTTTTTAAAGAAATGTGATTACTCCTGTAATTTTTGGGTTTTGTCTCTGGTGTTTTTTTTTGTTTTGTTTTGTTTGTTTTTGTGTTTTTTTTTTTTTCCTTCCCATTAAGTTCTCGTGCAAAACGTTCTCCCAAGCAGCGCCGGCGACATCAGATAAATGGGAGCCCAACTGATGCAGAAAAGGACAGGTTAATCACAACTGACAGTGATGGGACATACAAAAGGCCTCCAGGAGTCAATAATTCTGCATATATTGTATGTATGTCTCTTGAATGACAGGAGTGTTCTAATAATTCTAATTACAGTTGTGACATTGGGAGATTTGGCATTCTGACTATGGTCTGTGTGGCTAGTTTCAGTCACATGTAGTTAGCATGTAAATGCATGTAAAACAAAGATTTAATTGGTAGTCAGTATTAAGCAGTAAAATTCTGCCAAGTATTGCTTGATTTTAAAGAGGCGAAGAATCAAAACACTTTTTATTAATTCCACTGTATTATGCAGATGAAAGTGTGCTTGGCATATACCTTGAACATAGTTTCACTCTAGTCCAATTTGCTGGATGTTATATATTCATATGTTACATAAAATGTCATCCTTAGCTCTCATAGAATGGAAGACTCGGCTCCTTTTATGAGAAATTTTCTCATCTTTAAAATGTGGGAATTAATTATTAATGAAAAAGAAACATGTCTTTGTACTGCAGTAACTTGAAACAAATCTAGTACAATGTCTCACAAATTAATTTTGTTTCCTGTCTAAAAAAGTCAAAGACACTGGAGAATATTCTGTTCAATTATACCCATGTCACAAACTGTGTTTAGGTATCTTTAACCACTTCTAAGCAGACTTTACTGAGTCTAATGCTAATATTGGAAACCCCTGGATAGTTTTCATCTTGAAAGATGGTTTTAATAATTTTAAGGATTTCACCATTAGCTGCATATGCAGTCAGGTGACTATAATGTTGATTTCTGTGGTTTCCTTCTGCCTTCAAACAAGAGTGTGATGATTTTCCTGTCGTGCTGCAGCAGAATGCATTATCATCTGAAGCTGTTTAATTAAGACATGTCACACAGCAAGCTTAGCCCCTTTGGCATCTATAGTGAGAGAGTACTCGGAATGCTAAATTCCTGATGAAGTAGAGGCTTCTGCATCTTGACGACTGCTTTTGCTGTCTATGTGCAGTGGTAAGAGCAAGCTTTGATAATGAGTCTGCTGCTGCAAAGCTCATTTAATTTCCTGTTACTGATGAACAATAAGCCCACCTGGTAAGATCCCAGGTAGCAATTGTGATGCGTGCCTCAGGTATTGCTGCTATGAAGCACTTATCTGAATCCCATTCAGGTGATGCACCCAAGTTCAAGTTCCATACAGATAACCACTTAGCTGCTTAAAGGGTCCCCTGTGCGTTTTTCAAGGAAGTAGTAATTGTTCAATATTACTGCTGATGTGGTCAGTTGTAAGCTAAGACTGAATTAATTTCTTGGAACTGCAAGAGCTGCAGAGAAGTCAGAGATGTCAACAGAGCTGATTGTCTTTTTCTGAATGGAGTGAACGCTCTCTGCATGGCTTCATTATGTGCTTGCAAACTACAAGATTTCTGCCATAGCTGAGTAACTCCTGCACAAAGCTCCACTGCCTTATCTGAGATCAGAGCCTTTCAGATCACAATGAATGAAGTATTTGAATAGCTAGTGTTACATATGTGCATGCAGAAGTAGGGAGGGTAAGGGGCAGGTTTTGCCCACCACCGGCATTTGTGCCATTTATCTCATGGTTCTTGCAAAGAAAATGTTGTTCAAACTTAAGGCCCACAAGGGACATGGAAGCTGACTGGTTAGATCTTCACTGTGGCTGCCTTTCACTTCCTTTGTTTCCTCCAGTCTGATCCAGACTTGCCTCCTGAACCTCTGACATCATCCTCAGCTGACCTGGGGAAGTTCCCTGGCTTGCCTTCCCACCCAGTCTCCCAGTACGTCCCACCACAGCCATCCATTGAAGAGGCTCGGCAGACCATGCATTCGCTGCTGGATGATGCTTTTGCACTGGTGGCTCCCAGCAGCCAAGCAGCCAATTCCACGGCCGCCACACCACCGCGGGTCTCCGCAGGACAGCCGGTAAACAACACTCCTGCTCGAGCAGGGAGGGGAACCACGTGCACCCAGTGGGGAGCCCCTTATGGTCCAACTCAGGCAGTAAGCAACCCATTTAATGTGAGTGATGCGATTTAAAAGGCCTTTCTGGGCAGGTAGTTGGCATTAGTTGGGCCATGGTCACCGTTACTGTGCCCTTGCTGTCAGGATCGATCAAAAATGTGGAACAGTTTCTGGAACCAAAAGAATTCAGAAATGACCCATCACAAGATTGTGAACTTACTTTTTAAGCCATTTGGATTCTTTTCCCTTTTCCCATTCCAACCACAAGGGAAGATCGGACTTCTCTTCCTTTAGGATAGGATTTCTGTTCTTCACCATTAGGATCTTTCACAGATCAGGCTTGTTATGTCCAAGAGTAAAACTTTATCTTTTTCAAAAATAGATGTGCTAGTTTGTATTTTGATAATGAAAAATGAATGTATTTGGCTTAGATCATATTCTTCAGCAAGATATCCAAATGCTTTTCAGGAGGTGACGTTAGGGAAGCAGTATTTGTATGTGTAATTTTTTGCATTTTATGGAGCACTGGGACACATGGATAATCATCTTGGGTCCCCCAACAGTTCAGTACAAGTTTCCTGATGCCATTGGACTGCTGAGCCTGAGCCCCATGGTCTCTCTGCTGCAGTCTGATGAAAAGTTGAGAAATAAAGAAATTTCCAAAAGCTTGTATTGCTGAAAGCTTTAAGCTTAGTAGACATTGGAGCAGCCCTTCATCTTCCACAAGGGAGAAAGAGAGTATTTCTGAAAAGTTTTTAAGACTCTGATCAGAGAGACGAGACTGCCTGCCCACTGTAGTAGTGATTCCCAGATCTTCTTGTGGTTCTGGGTTTGTATAACTAATCTGTTATGCCTACAGTCATCACACATACAGGACTAGTGATCTTTACTATTCGTCAGTTAAAAGCCTGACTGTGGACTTCCCAGGGTGGGCCTTTTTATTTTAATTTGGGTTTTTTTTGTTCTTCTGACAGAGATACGTGGAATTTGGAATGACTCCACAAACAGCACCAGGTCTCCTACCAAGGTAGCTTTTCACTCACAGAATTGTCATTTATTATTTTCCTTGTAATCCCTCCAGAGTTCTTACTGGCTCTAGTATATTATTATGCAAAGTACTGTATAAATGAGAAGTAATAGGAGTCCAGATCCATCCTGTGTAATGTATTTATGTAGCATGAAAGACATATGCATGCTGTATGGAATCTGAACCTCCATTTAAAAGAAATGTGTTTCTAGCCCCTTGGCTATGGAGAGATCCTTCCAAATACTGAGTTAAACCACTGAGTTTCAGCTTTTCAAGAGCCTGAAACAGTTGCTGAAATGCATGTAATTTTCCCAATACTCTTGCTTTCATCTTGTTTCTGTAGCCTCAGGGCAACACTCACTTGCAAAAGCTTTCACATGACTAACAGATTCATTCTATTTTTAACCAAGCAGAGAACAAATTACACAGCATAGTGACCCTCACAGAGAAAGCCTGCCTTCCAGGCCTGTTGTAAAATCAGGAGGGGAGAAGAAGTTTTCCATCTTCTCCTGGCCTTGCTGTGGGAGAATCATGTAAAGGGGACAAAACAGTTGTTGAAGTGACTGTTAATTCCACGTTTGGTGTCTGTGTCTTAACTGCGTGTCTAGTTGGACACTTGAGTCGTGGTACCCACTGTGGTCACCCTCTCCAATCTGCTGCAGCTGAGGTGGTAAAAAGTGGCCTTGTGCTGTTCTCTCATTACCTTACAGCTCACCATGTGAGATGAAATCTCACTGGTATCCATGTCATTCATTAGAATTCACCTAAAGTCTTCATTGCCTTGGAAACTTGATGTTAAAATGGGTATGAAGAATTTTTATTTATCTGTTGTTCTGCAATCTGATTTTGAAAGAACAAACTAGAAAAGGAGGAGTCTATAAGCACATTTTCTTAATTAGTTCTTGGCTGAAGGTGACAGTTTCAGTGTGAGTGGAGCACACTTGAAATGGAATACAGTATGACATGTGGTGTATTTTTTGTAATTTAGGTTGTCTTGAAGATTGAGCTTTGAGACTGCCAGTACAAAGCATAACCAATTGTTTGTTATTGAGGATTTTCTCTTTGGCCTGTTACACATTCAAGGAAAATGTGATAAATTAGTCATGAAAGTACTGTAACCCATGTTAAAGACACCCAAGCAAGATAGTATCTTTTGCAACATATTATTTGTTCAAAAGTTTATCAGTCTGTGGCATAGGCACTCTGGATTTCTGTAGGTTATGAATTAATGGCGTCATTATTAATAGTTCAAATGCTGGCTTTGCCATCACCAGCAGATTAAGTTAGCAATCTGCAAGGTCATCGACCTTAACAGGAAGAATTGTATTAAATTTTCATTAAAATAGAATGTTTCCTAAAGCTTGGTCAATAGAAAACAAGGAAAGAGTTATCATGGTTGTGGAGTGGGGATTATGCTCAAATTCAGAAGCTAATGATAAGCAAACTGATACAAACAATGTACCAATTAGTGGAAGGGAAAATAACCTGAGGTCAGTATGACTAGGTGGCATGTATCAATGTCATGGTCCATTGACTGAAATGTCCAGTGTATGGACTAATAGTTGTCTGTCTGTACTGTTCCCTTCTCTGTACAAATGCAGTCAGCATCTTTAATGGGGTGGAACCAACTGGGATGGAAAAAAAATTAAATGTAAAAGACCTAGGTCACATAACAGCTAGGCAAACATGAAAGCACAGTGAACAGCTTTTACCAGAAAATGAATATTGCATCATGTAACAGTGATAGAGATACTTAGCCATAGTGGATTAGTGCTGTAAAATTGATTCTTGGGGCAGTATCTCCCCACTTAATTAAATAACTGAAAATTAATAATTTTTTTTTGAATGTGCAAAGATAAATTGGAGGCTAGGTCTCAGTTTGGAAATAGGAAGGAGGACTAGAAAACCTGCACGATATAGATTCAGATCTGTATCCTGTTTTTATATTCTTCTGTTGATCTCTGTCTTTAAAGACTAGCTATGTATCTGTTATAAAGAAGACAGGGAAGAAAGGGTGATGGGTTAGTAAACATGCACCTTTCAAGTACAAACCCATCAACAATAAAGGATATACTTCCTGTCCTCTGAAAAATTGGCACAAAAATAATAGATCTGCAGTAATGCTGAGAAAATATTTTCTTTAGACAACATCAAACAGATGTAGCAATTTATCAGTGACAAGATTCCAGCTCAGCACTGCAAGCAGTAACGGGCCAGATGGTCACATCCTTTCCTGATTACGGTGGTACTGTTAAACATTACCTACCCCTTCAAGCATTTATTTTAACTAGCTTGTAAGTCTGGTTGGAAATGGTTTCCTCTGGATCTGCTGAGTGGACAGGTGGGATTGTGTGCAAGAAAGCTGGAAGTTCAGATGGGTTCAGCTATGTTAATAGGAAGCCTAGGAAAAGCAACATTTCCATCTCCTCCTCTATTCCTGTTCTGTGAAGGAATTACAGGGTTTCTCTTACAAGTCTCGTTACCTTGAAACAATTAAAGAAGTTATATTGATGGCAGTTTTTGTTGTTAACCCTTTTCAGTAAATATATAACAACAACTACCAGCACCAGCCTTAATTATAGAAAACATTCATTTTAGTGTAGATTGCATCTCTGTGTATGTTTATAACAGCTTTGAGTAGTTTGAGAAAAGTTTTGAAAATTCTCTGAAAAATGTTGAAATAATAATTGTTCATGTAATGCAGTTTCTGTGGTCTGACTTGGACCAAAACTGTGTGCCCAGAAACTCTTGAGTAAGACTCAGATTTGTTGCTGATGTAAGCAGCTACATCACTACTGAATGAGTTTCTGGGTTTGGGTTTTTTTTTTAATTGAAGATGCTTTTTTTTCCCCCAAGAGTAAAAGATCATCTCTGGATTTTTTTTTTCTCTGCATTGAGGAGACTGCAACATCTGAAAAACATGTTTAAATTTGTTAGAGTTTCTAACTCCCATTCCTGTGCAGTGCAGGTCACGAAGAAGAAATATATTCCTCAGATGTAATTGTTTTTGTTAACATTTAAGATTAAAATGTACATTAGAAGGTATCATAAAGAGCTGCTGTGTGGAAGTACACTTGCATTACTAATTAGGCAATTCAATTACTGTAATCTTGAATCCTTACTTTTCCACAGGCAGAACTTTGGGCCAGGTTTTCTTCAACCTGCAGAGTTAATGCACCCAGACCAGCAGCCACCTGAAGTTCAATATTCCTCCAGAGGGATATACTCAGAGGAAATGCCATCAGTGGCACGGCCACGACCAGTTGGAAGCACTGCAGGTACACTTCACCTAAGCCAAATATGCACTAAAATAACTGAACCTTTTCCTTATCTGCTCTTACAGTGAGGTCACCATTAAGACATCATTCTCCTCCAGCTACTACACTTGAAATCTAGTCCTTGTCTTCACTGACAAAAAAAGAAGTGATCACGAAGTGAGGTTAACTTTACACCCATAGGACTTTACAGGGAAGGGTGGTGCTTTGCCACCTTTTTAGTACCTTACAAGCATTCATTATCACAGCATATTTTTAAAAAAGAGCATTCTGTAAGAATGGAAGATTACCTAATTATTTTAGAGTGTACAGTGTATGCTAACTTTCCACTGCTGACTGTTTCTTTTGTGCTAAATGAGCTAACTGATAAGTCCCAAATCAGCCTGCTAAGTAGCAATTTTTAAATACTTTTCTGCATCTTTATTTCTGATTTCTCTTCCTAGAAATGTATGCATAAAAGCAGGATCTTTTTGCTTCTCATGATATTCTCTGTTGCTGCTGTACCATACAAAATCACCTTCCTTGATTTGGTTGGGAGATAATTTCTGTAGCACTCCTCAGTGCTATCATGAATAAATTTCTAACATCACATGGCAATTAAGCTGCAAACACTGACTTTGACAAAAAAAATATTATATTCTTATGCAAATGCCACAATTAATTTTCTCCCAGAGAAATGTTTTCTTCCTGGGGAGTTGGAAAAGACTGGAAATACTTTTGTATATTCATGTCAGAGTCCTAGTTTTGGTAGCTGCTGTCCTCTCCCTGTAAATATTAAATGAATGAGAATGATAGGGGTGTAGTGGCTGTTACAGCTTAATGATGATTATTTTATTATCTGATTCACACTATTTTCTAAATGTTTATGTATGTTCTGCTTTAAAGTTTGGAGGCAATTCAGATGATTACTTTCAGTCCTTCAGCATAATTATATGCAAATACTAAACTTCTCTAATGCTGGGGTTTTTGAGAGGAAAATATGAAAGTGACCCAACTGTCCATCGTGTAAATCACACTGTTCTTATTGTCTTTTCCTCCCTTCTTGTACACACACACACACACACACACACACACGTGTTCTTGCATATCTGTGGGTTTATTAAATGGGCTTCTTTTCTAATGAATAATAAAATAAATTGTGTTTCCCCGTGGGAGGAAATTCAGGAGAAAGGAAAGCTGGCACGTTGTTACGTGTCTCTTGCAATTAATGGTGGCAGCTACTCTTGCATGTGCTTGAAAGCAGCGGGAGGGAAGGGAAGGGAGAAAGGAGGTGGTTGGCTTTCAGACTGAAAGGAGATACAGTGTGTTCTGACCTTCTCGTTAGTCAACGACAGCATCGTTTAATATTTAACCACAGAAGCAAAGCAGAAAGAATCATACTCTATTTAGTCATGTATTTTATTCTTCTGAGAGGTGGAATAGAAAGCAGTCTGGAGAGTTAGGGTCTTGCTGCTGTGATGCAAATAACGTGTACCATAGGAGCAAATGTCTTCTTTTTGCTGCTAAGTAATTTACATGAAAGCATTGCCAGGGCATTTTCAGTAAAGGCTGTTGGGAAAGGGCTAGCATAATTTTGGAATAAAGTGTAGTCCATGTCTGAGATGCATGTATCTCAACCTCTTCTTTCAGTGCGGTGGCAATGGAAAGCATCACACTCCAAATGAGCTGCACAAAATGCACATAACTTTTCCTTCTTTATTCTACACTGACAGCCTTCTTTCTGCTGATTTTTTTTTTTATGATTAATTGCACAGAAATGGAGCTCCACTTTCTTCTTGTCTCCTGGTTCCAACAAAGTTTTATGTTGTCATTTGTCTACCCTACAAACTTGACTGTGTATAAAGATGAAAAAAACAATATTTGCTTTTAAGGTTCTCAGATACAGCACCTCACTCAGGTGGGAATTGCTAGCAGGATCGGAGGTCAACAAGTGGAGATCCCCTCAGGCAGAGCAGGGCATGGCCAGCCGGGGGGGCCAGGGTGGCCCCAGTACCGTGGAGAGGATGAATGTGCTAGGCGAGATGCAGTGAGTACTGTGTTACACATTTGCATAGTTTCTGACCTAGTGATATGTTCGGGTGTATTTTTTTTTCCTGCATTACTGTTTGGAACTTTTCCCCCTGGAATACTTTCAGTTGCTTCTCTGACATTCTTTGCTTTGCGCTTCGAACCCTCGTTAGCTCTTCTAACTTTCGCTTGCTATTCTTTTACCGTCTGCTTCTCTCTAACTTCTTTCTCTCACTTTACCCTAACCTTTTTTTTTTTTTTCTCACTTGAGGCCTTCATCCATTAATTGCAGTTCACCCAGTTCTGCTTCTGAGCTCCAACAGAGGTGGATACTGCTTTCCATTTTCTTCTTTGAATTATGCCTCTGTATTTTGAGATCATTGTAAGTAGAGAACATTGAATTAAGTTGTTCCAGACTACTGTCCCACTGTGTATTGGTATAGTTCTTTTGTCTTTTGTATCAGTGCACAACAGCAGGATTAAGGGGAACAGAATAAAGTACATACTTGCATATAACAGTAGAGGTATTTCTGAACAAGTTATTTTCCTAGCCTTAGTCAGCAGGACATGGTAAACTAATATGTATTTGTTTACCAGCGTTGCCTAGGCAGCCATCATGCTTTCATGTTCTTGGCAGTGGTGCTTCTAGAGGTTGCTGTTCCTCATTCAACAACATACATGAGGTTGAGGATAGTATATGGCCTTTGCAGGAAAGACATAGCTGCCTGCTACCAGTCTGTGTCTGATAGAGTTGCATCCTGAAGCTGACTGACCTGTGAAAGCTTTATTGTAGAGCTCTTGGGAGGGACAACTTTGTTCCTTCATTTGCACCTTTGCTTAAACTATCATTTTTCTAGTTTCTTCCTTGAGAGAGAAAGGAGGGATCTCCTTCTTTTGCATACTTAGGGCAGTATGTGTTCACACTACTTGAAATTGCTTTGCAGTGTTGCTTGATCTCAAAATGGCTTTGCAGAAAGGAAGTGCAACAGGATGGGCTTTATCCTTGAGCATTTGTTGTAAGTGAGCTGCCACCACTCTAAATGAGCTTGAGAGGAGTACCACAAAGCTTCTAAGAACTGGACACCCTAGAGACTAACTCTAATTGTTACTATTCAAAAACTTTAACTATCAAAGCTGAAAGATTTATTTCCCTAATTTAATTTGCTGTCTGTGCTTGAACTGTGGTTTCTGAGTGCAAGAACATCATAATTTCCGTTTACATCTAGAAGAGCACTTGGATGAGAGACTGTAGTGCCTCTCCTGTTCAGTTTTCTGGGGCATCTCTAGGTTATCATCCCTTGCCTCTACTTAACATTTGTCTGTCTTTTCTGGAGATTAACTTTATTTTCTAGATCTGTGTGCCTTACCTCTCTTTCCCCCAAGTGCACATTCAGCCGCTACTTTTTTAGTATTTTATTACTTGAATTGCTAACATATTACTGCAAACGGAGTTGCAGACCCATTATCTGAGATGCTATGCAAACAGTTGGCTTTCCCATCGGTAACCTGCACAACTTTCAAAGATTCATGACCCAATACAATGTGATTTGGTTGCAGTTTTCACCTTCAGTCACCATTTCAGATGGGTATGTCACCTCAATCCAGATTGACTGTCTTTTAACCAGGTTAAACACTTCCTTGGCTTTGACAGAACATTTTGCTCACTGGTTGCTGCAGTTCATATGTTACTGAAATGTGATTTTTTTTTTCCAGTTTGCCTTCTTTGTTTTTTTTTAAAAAAAAAAAAAAAGCAAAAGGAGGAGATCATGGACTAAAACTACCCGAGTACAGTGTCATTTGGTTGTAAGAGAGGTCACCTAGTGCCTGCGCTTTCCTTTTCCTATGAGGAATTTTCTTTTTTTGGCAAAGGATTATTTCAATTTAAAAAAAAAAAAAAAAGGCATTATTAGGTGAGCTTTAGCCTTGTAATTTTCTGTAGTTTGGATCCCTACATGAGGACAGAGCTAAACTTGTTTTTACTCATTTTGGAAAGATCTGGTAACACTCTGGTTCCTTATGGTGCAGTATTCAACTGATCCTTTGCAAACAGTCCTACTGGTCCCTTATTCTGAGCAAGTTTCTAAAATTAAACTCTGCATTTAGGAAAGCTAACTCTAGAGTATTCTTCACAGCCACAGACTCAAGAGGGATCTGCATTTCTGTTTGTGCATTGGCCCTTGTCTTCATCTACTATTCCTGCACTCAACACCTGATTTTCCACTTCAATATGGCCTCTCATTTGTATCTCCTGACCCAAAGCCAGCATGCGGGTTGCCATCAATTCACCTTAATTCTCCATTCAGAAGGCCTAGGTAACCAGGATAATTGCAGAGTTTTCTTAGCTGACGTAAAATACAACACTGAGCAAGCGAGTGGTCATTTGAGCTGCAGAGCAAATGAAGCTTGATTTCTTACAGATGTCTGTGGTGCCTTGTATACCTCTACCTCCGTGCCACTATCTGGCATCACCTTCTATACATCTACAATCCCCTGTAGCTCTCCACTCTTCTCTCTGGGTCTTATCCAGGTTTTCAATGTTTCCCCTAAACCAGCCTTATATTTTTACTCTATTTTTATGCTTCGGCTGCCAACCATAGTGTCTCTAAACCATCTCACTGTACTTCAGGTTGTGTCTCGTGTCCCGTAGCTGCTCTGGGAAACACATGCTAATTGACATGTCCAGCTGAGCACAGTCTAACTTGGCCTTTCTGCCACTCAGAAACAGATTCAATGATAGCACAAATCAGGTTATCTCTAATTAGTTACCTTTTTTTTGTTGTACGTACAGATATATATTATAAGCCTGTGTGTATATATTTATAAATCAAATTCAGTTGAAATTGGACGCAGGTTCAACGGTTACTAAATGGAGATTAACTTGTTCACAATGTGATCGCATAAATCTTCATTCCTTTGGAAGGAAGATTCAGTAAAGATATTTTTGTTAATTATTTTGTACTGCTGTTAACTATAGAAAAATTTCTATGTAAAAATATATGTCTAGATACTACATAAAACTATATATTGTTACAAATGCAGTATTATATAATATAACCATGTGTCTTTCTGTTAGTGAAAAAAATCGATTTTTTTTAAAAAGCAGAAATTCTTGCAACCTTTTTACTCTCCTTATTTTGGTGTTGTAGTTTAGTATAGGTTAAGTTTCTGTACCAATCTAGTTTTGAAAGTTCTTAGACCAGCTTAATTTTGATGTTACGTATGAGATCACAGTAATACACACCTGTTTTTCTGAGATATCAATAAAACTTTGATAGCTTTAATGTTAAAAGCCAGCCACTGCAGTCATCAGTGTTCTTCCTAACTTCCCTTAAGAAGTGTTTCTTACGTTGCTGATTCAGTGCTGTATGAGATAGGAGCTTAATCACATACTGTACTTTAATATGTAAGTAACCTGAATATAGTTTAGGCTGCTGTTAAGACTTGTGTCAAGGAATGTTTGCTTTTAATTTTTTTTCATGTCACCTCTTTTCTATAAACCCAGATACTTGCCAGGTTTGCTAACTCTAAACTGCACATATGAATTAGCTTCAGGTTCCAGTGCCAATTCTGAACAATCAAGAGATCCATTCATTCCTTTCTGATACTAAAACCACCTCCCTTTTATAAGAAGTGAGACAGGATGCTACTTGGAAAACCTTCTTTACCTGTCATTCTTCTCTTAAAGCCTCTTTCCTCTTAATCTCTCTCCTCACATTAGCTGTGTGAATGATGAGTGCTGTACATGAGCTGTGCAAGAGTCAGAATCTATTATTAGTTCTACTTTATGCAAAATGGCTTAGATTCTATTCCTTGATATCACTGAGAGATGTTAAGGAATATACTCTTGTGCATTTTTCTGTTCCCTGCACATTGCTGCTGCAGTCGCTCTAGGTCCCTCGTAACCTTGCCAGGCTCTGCTTTGTAATCCCTTCATTCCCCTCTGCCTCACCCCCAAATCCTCTTCTGGCTGACCTTGCTGTCCTTTCTTCTCTCATCAGATGTCTCTCTCTGCTACTACTGAAGGCTTACCCAGGGAGAACTTTAGTGCTCACTAAATTGTGGTAACTGATCCCACCGTGCAGCAGCAAGCTGCCACTGACCCTTTTCCAGGGGCGTTACGCTGCTCTGCTCCCAGTTGTGCACTGAGCAGGGTGTGTTCCAGTCCTTGGTGTCCAGTGTTTTCTTCTGGCTGGCTCTCAGCCTTCAGCTGTATGAGGCAAGAGGAAACGCTTGCTTGAAGGATGTCAGCTGGGATTTAGATTTTCAAAACAGACCTCGCTTGTGTCCGTACTGGGATTTAGTGCAGTCCCCTAGTGTACTGTAAATTCATGCTTTGTTTTCGTGTAAGCAGATTTTTTTTTTCCCAGATAGACAAGCCCATAAACTCAGACTTCTGTTTTCTTTCTGTCTTGTTTTGTTAGAAAATATGTTACTGAATAAATGCAGAATTAACCCCTTTCTACCCTGAAGCAAGGTTTGTCCCTAAACTGGTGTAGTGTTTCTCAAATGTAGAACAGTTGTTGAGTATAGAAAAATCTCATGTTTCCAGTTTGAATAATTTTCTCCTGATGCTTATTCTGTTGACCGTGTTTTCCTGGGCACTGGTCTGTCACAGGGGTCTCAGAAGTGTACAGTCTGAAGAGGCAAGCCAGGTGGATAAGGGGAAGGTGAAAGTAGTAGTATCTCTATTTGTAGGTAGCATGGAGAAAAGACAGCCAGGAAGACAGTGGTTTCCTTGTTGTCCTTTAGGAAGTTGATGGAAAGGCAAGGAAAGAGAAGCCAATTCTGTTGACTTCCAGTTTCGTGGTTTTTCTTCCCACCTCCTTCCATTTCAGTTTCTGAACATTTCATAGATTAGAGAGGGGCTCAGAGTTTTTAATAGATACTCAAAGAGATTTTGAAAATCCCTGAACTTGAGGCCATCCAGCGATCTTATGTACACTTGTTTTGTGCTCCATAAGAGGAATCATTCACTCATACAACAGAACAGTGGCAGCAGATAGAAGCATCTCCATGCTGCTTTCCCTCTGTCTTTTGTCTTTTTGCTTTCTTGTGTTTTCTGGGATTATCTTGTTTATTCAGGAAGTACAATAATGCTTTCTACCTTTTTCCAGATGCATATGCATGGACACCAAGAATATTCCTCCTCACCAGTATTCCAGATGCCGAGGACTTCAGCCAGGCAGCCTTCAGCACCCCCTGCTCAGCTTCCACACAACAGCCTTCAGGGCCAGGGCCTTTGCTACACCACCAGTTCCACTGAGGACCTCCAGCCAGGTCACTCTTCAGCCTCTCTTATCAAAGCAATTAGAGAAGAACTTCTACGACTTTCTCAGAAACAGACAACAGTGCAGAACTTCCACAGTTGATTTAGCATTCCCTTGCAAATCTGCCAGGTATCTGCTTCCTATGGAAGCAAAGACTTAGAGGAAATCAGCAATGTCATTCTCTCAAAAGAAAGAACTTTCACAGCTCTGTTGACAACACTCTGGAAAAAAAGAAAAAGGCAGCAAAATCAGGATAGTAAGGAGAGATGGGGGACAAACAGGGAAAACCATCAGTGTCATTACAAGTAATATTAATTAATCTGCTAATATTACGGTGCTCCTCTTCTCTCCCTACTCTTATTCAGCCTAACAAATAAATAAAACCTTAGGTCAAGAACTCCACACTCCAACAACAACAAAAAAACATCACAGGAACAAACTCCAGGTATGATAGACTCCTTTTTCTAAGGAACTAGGCGAACGTTTGAATAAACTGAGATGACATTTTGCAAAAGATTGCAAGTATTCTGATCTCTCCAGTGCTTATGGGGAACTGGTTTGTGTTGCTGTTCTGCAAGATTACAAACTGTCAGCTCAAGGGTGTTGAAAGTGTGATCCCACATAAGAATCACTTCGGTTGTCAGGAACAATGGGACTACTTAGAATAAAAGTCTTCATGAGCTACTTGTAACAAACTGGAACAATAATTGTTATAGCTCTGTGCTTCCAAATGGAGCTACCCTCTGCACTCTTCCTTGTTTTCCTTCTGGTGCTGAAGCTTCAAGTGTTCCTTCATCTTCAATGTCTGCAAAGTGAAACATTGGCTTGTATAACTAAGAAAATATCTGTAGACTCATTCAGGCTGGAAAAACAAAGCAAAGCATCCAAACAGAAAGGGCTTGATATTTATTTTGTTTAAAAAAAATTGAAAACTGTGAGAGGAATACTCAGCCACAGTTGAATTGGGTTGTGTGTATGTATATCTTTAAAAAATGTATTTACATGCTATATGCTCCTGCAAGACCAGCGATAAAATTTTGCCACTCTGTAGTTTGCTTTGTGGACAGAAACCAATCCAGCCTGACTGGTACAGGGTCACCAGCATTATGTTATGAATTGATGTCCTAAATCATTGCTTATGTTTGGATCTGAATAATTTTAGTGAAAGTCAGTGACCGTTTAGAGCATTAACATAGGCTTAGAATTGCGATTTTGAGACAGTTTCTATATTTATACTTGTTTCCACTGTCCCTTTGGACAAAGGGTAAGCATTATCCCCATGGTAGGAATGGTACATGCCATGGAACTGTTTGTTGCTGTTTTTTTCCAGAGTTTTAATTTAATATTAGCTACGAATTTACTAATATTTGGCCATTGCATAACTGTAACTGACATAATACATGTGGAAATTTTACTTAAAGTCCTGATTTGTTGTAGTGTATTTATTTTCAGATCAGACTGAACTAAAGCTAACAAACTGGCACCGAGAGAGAGGATAAGCTCAGTGTGTGTTAGAAGGCTTGGGAGCCTTGCCCTAAAAAAAGGAAAAGCAAAGCTATTTGGTGCTACAGTGTGAGCATTTCTAACACTGGCAGATGGTAGCCATAGGTCATCTAAGGAACAGTAGTCTGCCAAAGAGATCACTGGGCAGTTGATTAGGGTAGGTTTTGCCTCACTCACTGGGGTAGAAGTGGCATTGGTAAAATACAGGTGTATGAGACCGGTGATCTTTGGCTGCCAAATTTGTTCCGGGTTCCAGCGCACAATTCCATAACTATGACAGGACTTTCTCAGTCTGAAATGAAAACAGGCAGGAGAACAACACAGAAGAACCCTACATACTTTGTTCATGAAGTGTGTACATAATATTCATTGCCAAAGCCAAAATTAGGAAGCGACTGGCAGCTCAGTGATGTGGAAAGAAAAAAAGTGGTATATTTACCTTTTTATTAGGAAGCTCAGTTATTTTTCTCTTTACCCATGATTGTCCAAAGGCTGTATGAAGTTGTTTTGAGGGACTTACTATAGTAAAGCAGTCCAAAATAATTTCCAGTTCCCTGGCCAATATTTAAAGCCCTCATGGGCACTTCTTGTGTTTTGAATGAAATGAGAACACCAGCATGGTTGAGAAGAGTAGTATCAAGAGGTTACTATGTTTAGAGTTTTTTAAGCTTTTTGTTTAATAATCACTTCTAGGATAAAAATTAAGAAGCATTTTGGTTTTGCCAAGTTTGTAAACATCAATGTTGCCAATACTTCTGCAAAATGTCAGGTTTTGCAGAATGAAGATTGTGTCAGGCAATGTTCACTTGATCTTTTTGACAGTGTTGAAGACTGGCTGTTCCTAAATGTTCCCATTAAAACTCTCTCTTTCATAACCCTCGTCTTTCTTCAGCTTAATTCTGCAGTGAGGCCAGGCGCCAGTGCTTGTAATATTAGCGTTTTACTGTGACTTCATTTCAAGAAAATGTGGGTTTCTAGGAAGTAAGTTCATTGTCTGGTTGCTGATTCCAGCGATTTAAGAAGGAATATGAAGTAAGAGCTTAGAAGGTTAGAGGTACTTAAAGCCATTTCTGGTTCATTTTTGCTAGTGATGGCAATGCTATTGTGATATTCCCTCTTTTTACATTTGGAAGAATATCCTTCTTCTTTTCAGTCCCAAATTTTATGAAGAACATGTACTGGACAAATATATACTGGTAAATGAAAGAGGCTTTCTTATGCAAAAATCCCTCTTTAAAACCTTACAAGTTCATGGGGCAGGACAGTAAAATATAAAAAGTCAGAAAACTTTGTTTGAAAGTTATGTTCTCAAAGGGGTTGGGGATCTGATCCACTGTTCACAAAAATGGTATGGCCCAGTCTTCACACTATATGAAGCCTTACTTCAAATAGTAAGAAAAGCAACAAATAAGGCTCTTGTTCTAAAGGGTGGTCTTAACAATGGAAGCCCATGCTTCACTTTGTGCAGCTACAGGAGAAGGTGGTGTTTTCGTGTTCTACAAAAGGGCTCTATGAAATGTGTGTGTTGCAAAACTTGTGTTTTCCCTTGGGAATTCAGAGAAACAGTTGTAAGACTCTGCATCCCCATGTGCTTGAGCTCTTTCGACAATTTTTTTTTTTTTTTTTAATTGCCCTATCTGGGGCAGGAGGGAACCAAGACTTCTGTTCTGAAACTTTAAGTAACCTGAATTTAGGTATCTTTTAATAAATCTACGAGTAGATGAAAACACTGATCAGATGAGAAGCTGGTACAAGCCCTGAAAGCTGTTAACAACAGTTACATCCATTTCCATGACTAAACCATCTGGTCCACGGCATACTCAGGCTCTTCTCTTCCTTCACAGTTTTCCTTGACATTTGTGTTTAGTCTGTGTTTAGGTTGGCATATAAAAGAACTTGGCGAGATGAGAGCTATGTAATTCAGCTTGGTCGGTTTGCTTTTCCTTTTTGTGGCCAAAATGTTGACCTCTAGCCTGCTTCTTCGTTATCCTTGGAGCTAAATGAAGCTTTACAATGATTTTTCATACACTCAATTTGAAAGGCAGGTCACACTTCAATACAATAAAATACTCTCTGCCAGCATGTAACACATGGTCCTCTCAGTCATTGTGGGCATGTGGCTCAGGAAAGCAAACTTTGCTTTTAGGAGGAGTGAATTGCATAGGTGCTGGACTCCTCGTGTTTGCTGACCCTTTGCAAAGTACTGTACCTGCAGTGGTTTGGAACAGCCCTCATATATATTGACTGGAGAGCAGCAGCATCACACAAGGTTTGTGTATCACCTCTGCACCCGAAGGAGTGGTTGGCGAGATGTTAGCTACCCCAATATCATGCATCTTTACACACACATAAATGCTTAAATAGATTGACCACCCAAAAGTGCACGTTCATACAGAGTGCCGAAGCCAGTGCCTTTAAATTAGACCACGGAGAGCAGGACTACAGCGTTATCTTACAAAGGGGCTGTTTACAGGCATCATAACTTCCCAAGAGCCCAGGCAGCTGACACCACTCTGTGTTAACTCATGGCTTCAAAACACACTAGATGGATTACACAAGGAAGCTAGTATGTGTTCAAACCCGAGTGAAGTTACCAGTTGTGGGATGTAGAAGGCAGTGGGCAGTGAAACTAATTTTTTAACTCTTACACTCACTACCTTCTCCCCCCTTCCAGCTTTAACTTTTTTTCTCTTGGAGAAGAAAAGAGCATTTCCTATTTTATGCCTTATCTAGCAATTCTTTGTTAACAGAAAAAGTCCTTGGAAAAAAAAAAACAAACATCTTGGCCAAGAGCTTTGAAGTGGAAGGATGAAGAACATTTGTGACTTTGAGGTGGGAACTGTTGTGGGCTGTATTTTTGCAGCAGCAAAGAAATGGATTTTTTGGAAAAAAAAACCCCAAACCTATTAGATGTTTTCTGAATATGGACATAAAGCTGAAAATCTGCCTGGTTTTCAAAAGGCAAAGGACAGTAACTAGCAACAGTGCACTAAAAACAGAGATAAAATCTTGGGGACTCCCCCTGCTCACACTCAAAACTCAATTTGTAACACAACCCCAGTTCTGTGCAGTCCTTTGCTGCTTGTAATGCTGGTTGTGCAGGTGAGGACCATCTCTCATCAGTGACACTCCCAAAAGTGGTTCACCAATGCTGTAGAGTTTCTCCAGGGCTGTTTAGATGTCCCTAGAGAAAAGTAACAGCTGTGAAGTGCTTGAATGTGGAAATAAAAATCCAGTTCCCTTTTGTGGCAGTCATCTTCTTCCTCTTCCTGTTACATTTTACTTAAAAAGGGAGGAGAAGCCCTGGGGATGTGTTCAACTGTCACCAGTCTGCTGTCACTCGTGTGTTGTACTACCTGTAGGTCCTAAATACAGAAGAAGCAGAAATGAAGAACGAAAGATTTTGGAAATGCTGATGAAGATTCACAGTAGTTTTGCAGTATTTTGGTGTGAGTGCACTTGAGTGCTTGAAAAGTCAGGTATCTCTGTTGCAGTGAGTGTCCCTTGAAATGCAGCTTATGTCAGGAGGAGGACTGTAAAATTTTTCTTCTTTATCTCTGGCACTAATTCAATGAGGGCAGGGCAAACTCAGCTTGCGACAGCTCGTAGCTGTGGGATTGGTTGTTCAGATCCAAATCTTGGTCTGCATATTGTCCCTGGTTGCATCTGCATGACTTCCACTGAAAAGCGTTTAGTCTTGTGTATGCTTTGGAAGGACAATTTATTCTACATGTTTTTTAGCACAGTTTGGGACGCAGTTGGCAAGATGGGTCTAGCTTTGATGTACAAGTCCCAGGATGAGTTTACTCACCCTGAGAGTAAGAAACTTGAAAAGCAAAAAAACTGCAGAGTTGTGCTGCGTTTTTAAAGAGACTTTTCTGGAGCAGAGCTGCAGACTTGTGAACCCCACT